CTAGAAGTAACAGGAAGCGGTTTGGCAATAGTTGCATTTGGCGTGTGGATGCATTCAAATAATAGCACTGACACATTGCTTCCCTAAAGGCTGCCCAGTTGCTTCGACAGTTTGGCATCAAATCTAGTTAAAACAATAAATTACTTAAGAAGAAAGAAATGGAAAAATTTTTTGATCACACCTCAGTAACCACTTGAACTGACACTTGTTTAGTGGCAAAGCAGAGCCGGAGAATGAGTCTCCAGTGAATTCACCCCACATTCACGCATTCGGCTCACCAGCTCAAGGTACAGTTTTTTAGTTCTAATGCGCTTTTGTAACACTGGCAAGCAAAAAAGCGCCAAGACTTTTTTGCGCCTATGCATACGTTTGTGTGTGTTGCTCCAGCTACATTAGCGCCAGAAAGCTGAAGTTTTGAGGACAAAGTCTCTGAAGAAGCAGGTGGCTAAAAGCCGGAGTCGCTTTTCAAACACTTTGCGTGATACCTTACAATCTCGGTTACGAATTGACGGTAGGCCTGAAGTTTTGTAGGCAGAGTTCCAAGCAAAATTTTCATCCTGTCTTTCTCCTTCTCTGATCTGACCTATGACAGGAAGCTATGTTTGAAATAATTTTACAGCTAGAAAATATATAGATTAATGGAGACGAAATTTTCAAGCGTAATTTGCACGAAGTGAGTTTCCATACCACCCTTATCTAATGACCCCAGGCCCTGATTCTACAAGTTCAGAATGGAGCGACTCAGGATCTGGAATTTTTGAGCTCACGATTAATCAAGTAAAGCAGTAAGGAGGAGAACCAGAATTCAAAATTCACCGTTCCCTTACCTGTGAATTCATGCTCAAATATGCAATAATTTTAGAATTCTAAAAACAGGACGTCAGTTTACATCTTTCTTCCACATCTCCGGTTTAGCTGCTTTCTAAAAACAGTCTGTTTCAAATACAAAATATTTCTTGCGTGGTCTCTGGCCCACATAGAAATTTATGACACATCTTATATCACTGATGCAAGAAAACTCTGGTATGCGTGTTGCCTTTTGTACATGTGTGTAGTATGCAAGTTTATGTTTATTTGTGTATCTGCTTGAAAATATTTTTAAAATCTAGAATGCGAAGACTAAAAAGATGAAATTTCAAGGCTTTGACCGTACGCAAGGCCACAGTCCTGAAATCGATTTTTAATTTGCTTTGTAATTTGAACGCTTACCCTATACTCAAATTTAAACTTATTTTGAAACTCGCAAGGTTCTATTACAAATTCGAGTTCGCTGAATTCCACGCTGTTTTCGAGAGAAGTCTGAAAGCAGCTCAAATATTTCTGTGTTGTTTGAATTTATGCTATTTTCTGAGGTGGCACAAAGCTGCTGACTTGGAATTTAGGAAGTTCAGTTCACAAGCAGTTAGTGTTATTATCGTCAAGTCGGTCCACAAATGTGTACTCTAAACCTTTAGCCCCAGGCTCAAATTCAGATGCAGCTGGATTGTTAAAGTCACGTGTACAAAGAACAGGACAACAACCAACGTGAAAAAGTGAAGGCCAATCCCATATGTTTTATTGCATTCGCCACACTAACATGTAACAGTCTGTCGCAAAAAAACTCGCAAGTGCGGCGACTTCTTGATATGGGCTTCTCTTCATTTCTTTTGACTTAGTACTGGAGTTCTCAGCTCAGTTCGTTGCGCTTTAGCCCAAGTAGTTGAATCCCAGCTGCTTTGCTGTAGGTGGATTAACTGTTCTGTTATCAAAATATTACCTTAGTTCTGCTTAATGAAAAAGTTAATGAAAAATAGTTAGTACGCGCTTTTAATTTATGACTGGGCTACTTGACTTTAAAAAAACATTATAAATACACCAAATGCTTTTTTGGTTTTCAGGAATTTCATAAGTTTTGGTTTAAATCTCCATCAAATCTCCGTCTTTCCAAGATTTTCCCATTAGAATCGCTAATGGGCTGTCTGCTAGACAGTGCAGCACTGGACAAAGCAACAAATAATTTGTCAAACTATATAGTGAGTGGTCAATCAGATTGTGAACTGTGGCCGGTCAGTGTATTAAAGTTTTACAAGTTCGAAAAGCCCAATTTGTCCTTTACCATGTGTGTTTTCATTTTCAAGAATAATTCCTAAAAAAGCTCATAGTCGATGAGAAGAGGAGCTGTTATTGCAGATGAATGCGATGAATTAGCAATACCATTTGGTTTAAATGAGCCAACTGTATGTTATGGCTGTGGCTATCCAATCAAGGAGAAGTATATGAAGAAGGTCAGTTGAAACTGGACTAAATTGTGAAACCCTACTGAAAAATTTGTCTTCTTGTAGATTCTTTTTACCAGCTCTGAATTTGTTGCCCTTAATTATCGTGATAAGCAATTTTCCTTTTTCCGCCAACTTACACGAGGATTTGGCGTATTGATCCAATAGTGTATGCGCATTGCTTCTTTATCTTTGCACCCATCAGTCCGTAATTCGTAATTATTTGTTTCCTGCCTAACCTATCAAAACTGCGCAGAAAATCAGTGTGGGAATATCATGTTAGTAATTGCCTAATTTCGGTTGATACATAAACAAATAATGTCTTTTTGCAAGGAACCCGGTTGGTACATAATTGTTTTGCCTTATTAAATTTCTGAAACTTGAATATTTCAGGTGGATGATAAATGCTGGCATGAGGACTGTCTTGTGTGCTCTAATTGCCGTATTCTCTTAAACGGTTCAAATTGCTACTCTCGCAATGGGCATCTGTACTGTAAGCAGGATTACAACCAGTAAGTCCATCAATTTCACCTCATCTACAAAAATTTAGAACAACCACTGGATAATAATTTTTTCCGGTTTTGCTCATATTTTTTGTTTTGGTACGTATCTGTGCGTGCATCAACACATACACACAGCTCTATAAGTAAAGTTCCGTTTCATTAGTAGCCCCGCACTGGGACCATTCTTTGAATAAATTATTTTGAATCAGATAGACGGCACTGAAGAGCGATTCTTTGATCACTTCAAAGTGCTACAATCTTTTTGGATGGCATTGCCCCGACAATAGTTTTGTTTAGGCTTGCATGCTGAACAGCTCTTGAGCAAGATGTCCTGTCGCCCTCTTGTGGAGTCGTGAGTAGTTCGAAATACTTCAA